TATACTATTTCTCTGGTTTGAATTCTGAAGTTCACTAAGGATAATGACTTGACACTGTTAAATTTAGATGAAAATTAATTCAATTAAAAGTATAGTCTGTTGTATTTAGCTTTAGACCCCATCTTATTTGCATTAGCTAAAAAAATCTAACTAACACTCTAGTGCTAATATAAACTATGCCTATTCACACCCTGGTTTAATATTTTCATTCTGTTGCTAGGTGTGCTCTATAAATATGCTCCAATCAATTTATAGGCCCTGAAAACGGACATAAGTCCCTAAAAAGCAGCAAATGTGTCCACAGTTTTTATACAGTACTCAGAACTAGTACAGTGTATACTCAGTTAATAAATGCTGCTTTATAATGATAATGGACACAGAGGCTACATCTCCAAGTCAATCAATACATATCCAACTAAGGATGAAAGTCTAGGTACCTCACATGACCTTTGCTAGCGGTGGTGAGGCAGGGCCAACATTTGCTGTGCTGTTTGACTAGAGTAGAGTGGTTATTATCTAAAAGTTTTCTGTCTTGCTAAGCTGCCTCTTTTTCAGTCCTTTGGCTAAAAAGAGCAGGCTTTGGTTTGGTTCGTTTTTTGTTTGTGCCTATTGGCTTTTCCAAGCTGCCCATTTCTCCAACATCCAATCTGGAATATGTGAGGCAAAAAAAATGTAAGGATTCATCACCATGAAATCCACTGGGTCTCCTGGTCACCAGCCAGTTTTCCTCCTACTCTCTACTTTTTAGAGTCTTCTTATGTTTGTTTTCTACATAATACCCAGAGTTTTTAGTTGTACTTAACAGAAAGAGTAGGGAAATTTAGGAGCTTCAACTCCATTTTTCCAAAAACAAAAGTCGACACCTATAACTTGATAACATTAAAGATACTAGGTAATATTTTTGCCACTCTGTTTAGATAAAGGACAAATTCTTATTAATACGGTTCAACTCAATGTCCCCTAGATGAGCAGATACCCAAATATTTACGCTTCGTGTTCCCAATGAGAACAATTTTTCCATGTCATCACAGAGAAAATACTTCGGAACCTTAAAAAAAAATAAGTACCAATCGCTCAGCATCTACTCAATTTGAAAAATCTCCACAAATTTTCTTAATCGTATTTTAGCTAAAAATAGAAACTGCTGCATTTTTCCAATGACAAGTCAGCGTGAGAATTCTTCCTGGCGAGCATCAGATAAAGTTGGGAAGCTATCTTGATTATAAAATGCCAAGGTACTTGACATAATAAATAGTGATAGATTTACAAAATATGTGGCATTTCTTTTAACAATGACTTATAAAGCATCCTATTGAAGTTGTTTTTTAAGAAGTGGCAATGAATTTTGGCAATCCAGCCATAAACCTTTCCCAGTTAACCCTGTGAATTCTACACACATGCCCACATGCTAGATGACTCTCTGGCTACACACAAATCAGAAGAGTTAATTAAACATGAGGGGATCACATCAATTACTCTGGTGTTCAAGTCAGTGTTCCTCTTAGCCTTTTTTTTTTTTTTTTTAACTCTTGTTTAAACTCACAGGAAGTTGCAAAAATAGCACAGTCCCATGTACGTTTTACCTGGCTTCTGCTAACAGTGATATCTTATTTAGCTATAGTACAATATGAAAACCAGGAAATTGGCATTAGTACACTACTGTTTACTAGCCTATGGACTCTTTTATCCTTTTTATAAATAAGTTATACAATAGTGAACTTTCTCAGAAAGTCTCCCAACACTTGAACATCTTTTCACCAATCAAACTACCAATTTATACTTCTAACTCAACTGCAAATTATCTATATGTAAATGATCCTTATAAACACAAACATGTACACACCCTATATATTCATAACTGATGCACGCAAACACAAAAGTTTGTACCCACACATGAATAAACTTATATGAAAACAATAGCAATCTATCTTTCTCATCAAAGCATGGTTTTTCCTTAATTTCTACTTTCCTCTGCTATTACATTAAGATTATGTGTAAAAGAAGCTGAAGACTAAAAGAAACCTTTTAGAGTTATAAAACATAAAAATCCATTCAATGCTTGAGTTCTTTCTACAACATCCCCACCGATGATCCTTCAACCTTTATGTGACTATCTCTAAAGACATGAAACAAATAAGCCATGAAAGAATCCAGTCTGCCTTTGGTCAACCCTAATTCTCGAAAGGTCTCTCTAATCATTAGCTAAAATTTTAACAACTTATACTCATTTATTTCTAGTTGTACCTTATAAGGATATTAACAAGCAAGTCTTATCCCTTACTACCTTTCTCACAGGAAAATCAGACATCCTGGTTTGCCCAATATGTTGTTCTGGCATAATTAATATCCCCTTTCACACGCAAGATTTGAACAAAACATTACATAGTCCCTCTACACTGGAGAGCCCACAAAAAATATGAAGACCACACTTATGTTTTTGCCAGGTTAACCACTGCTCATTTTTCAGCTGTTCTTTATATAATAAGATTTGGAGGGCCTTTGTTAGCCTTATCATTCTTGCTTCTGAATACGTACTTTATTTATAATCCAAAAGCCCAAACGCTTAAATTCCTTATTGCATATACATGTTATGAAGGATTTTCTAATCTCAATTAAAGAACAGAAAGTCACTTCTTTACCTTTGAATACTAGACCAAGATACAGCTACAGGTTACTGTTCCTCTAGGTAAAGACACCTGAATGTCTTGAACAGTAGTACTAGGTAGCAGTCTCACATTATTCCAGTAGGTGTCACTCTACATATAATACATTTAAAGTTATTTGTTTCAATTCATTTGTTAAATATTTATTGAGCACCCATTATGTGCCAGGCATGATTCTAGGTGCTGAGAATACAGAGGTGAACAAGATAGACACAATCTAGTTCTCAGGAGCTTACAGAATAGATAGTAATGAACAAATCTGCTTTATGCACTTTCTATAAAAAATTTTATAAAATCCTATTCCTCAGGAAATTTAATTTTCCTAAGTTAATAGCCAATACTACACAAAATAACTCATAAAAAAAATACTAAAATGAAACAGCATCAGAGAAACTGTTCCGCATAAGCTAGATAAATGTATCCTGTGTATTTTCCGTTTGAATTAATTCAACACTTCTCTTCTGAACTTCAAGTTTCTAAAACCCAAATTTTAGGTATTCCTCAGTACAATGAATAGAAATTTATGTTAAAAGGTAGTTCAACTTTTCAAAAATAAACCTATTCATGTTCTTACAAGGTGCAGACTGTGTTACAAATTTTAAAAGCTTATTTGCAAAGCTTATTTGATTTCCATATATATTTCCTTCTCTCTACTTACAAAAGTTACATGTCACCTTCTAAACTCCAAACACACTTCCCAGGTAAACAGAATAAAAACAGTAAAAAATTATGCCTCAGCAAAGAAATTCCTCCACCGTCAAAAGTCCTAAGTTAAATAAACCAAGACTTCAAGTGACTTATAATTAGAGCATAGCATTGAGGACACACTTCATCAAAACAAACAAATCTAAGAGAGGGAGCAGGTACTGTACATCAGAAAAGGTTATTTGCCTGCAGAGAAATCCAAGAACCTAGGAACTACTCGATTTCTATTTTGCTTTTCTGTATTCTCAAATAGAACATTCTCCAAACTGGAAAAGCTAGGGAAAACATGGTTACGGCATTATTTCAGGCTAAAAATTTTTACTTTAAGTTCAAAATTCAGTCATATGAATTTAAGAAAACTGACGCTTGTAAGAATTTAATAAGACACTGACAGCTTCATGTAATATCCAACCTAATGTTCCCTTTGGAATACCTCAAACTTTTAATTACTGTCTAAATTACTTGAGATGTATGGCATATTATTCAATTTTAGCATGGAATCACATGCATACTTCAGAACACAAGAAGTACCCAGTGACATTAAGTTATAAATGACCATTAAAGTGCTTCATAAAAGATGGTTAATGTAAAAAAGATCTAAATTAATTTATACCTTAATATTAAATAAGGCATTTTCTTTGAAAGGAAAAATAGTGGTTGATCAAATGTATTTAAAACATAGTTTATTGTGTATGGTTTTTAAATTACACTGTATACTCTCTGAGAAGCCCAGTACCGTTAATGTTTGGCATATCTGAGATGTCATCAAATTGGGGAGAATTTAGTGGCAGCTATCTCTGTTATCTCAGTATTTTCATTCCAAATATAAAAGTGTGTGTGTACATATATGGAGAGAGAGAGAGAGAGAGAGAGAGAGAGAGAGAGAGAGAGAGAGAGAGAGTGTGTGTGTGTGTGTGTGTGTGTGTGTCTATGCTGGTGGTAACTATTTATATCATTTGTGTGTGTGTGTGTGTGTGTGTGTGTGTGTGTGTGTGTGTGTGTGTGTGTGTGTTTAGTGTATTGGAAAGAGCACAGCTTGTGAAGTCACAAAGATCTAAGTTTGAATTCCAGCACTACCCTAAATTAGCTATGTAATTTGGGGGCAAGTTACTTACTTATTCTGAACATCACTTTCCCACCAAGATGCAAGTAACAGTTGTGAGAAGCATTAAATAAGTTGTTTTATATAAAATGTCTAATATATAGTCTGACATATAGTAAGTGCTCAATAAATAATAGTTAATAGGAGAATGCCATTTCATTTTTCTTTTTGATCACTAGATTGACTGTTAACAGTTAATGCTGAACAACTACTGACTCACAAGTTTTTTGTAACTAACACAGTGTATCTTTTTACTCTGCTATAACAGGTTTAAAAAACCAAACTCCTTACTCGACTGAATGCCAACAAATATGCACCTTCTCCTTTAGTTCCAATATATTTTGCATGACCTTACATGAATTGCTTAGATAAAAGCTTTTTCTCTTCTGCTTTTGTTATTTTAAAGTGCAGATGCATTTGAGTCATTTTCTCCTTTTGTTTCATATCCTTAAGATCCAAAGCTTCAAAGACATAATGTCAGCATGCAGTCGATTTATGACTGAACTCTTGAAGAGACACTGAAGAATTACCTTGTCAATCACCCCAAGGACTCTGAAGGCCTTCAGCTCCTCGGCAGGGCTCCTTAGGTTCCGAGGGGGCCTTGAACTTAGTGATCCTGGAGGCTAATGGAAGATATCAAAGATTATACATCAATCAGGGAAGTACTTGAAGAAGACTGCCTGCTGAAGCAAATGCCAGGCCAAAGGAAACTAAATTTATCATAAATCAGAGAATGGAAAGATGAAAGGAGAAGTTTCTGTTTGTCTGTAATGTAAAATAAAAAAAAAATAATAAAATCAAAAATAAAGAAAATCAAAAAGAAAAAGCAAGAAAAAAGTTGCAACTAAATAAATCAAAACATTGAAAACAAAATTTTAAAAAGAAAAATTAATGAGCTGATAGTTTTTAAGGCAATAATTCAGTTCAGAACTGTACAACTATAATGAAACTTTGTAACGAATGGAAAACCGAGACAACAGTCACAGCCTTATATTTACCCCCAGATGGCTCAAGAGTAATTTAGAACAGAAAACTAAAAATCAATGCAATAACAGATAAACTTGGGGAGGAAGAGAACACAAGTCACTCTCTTTCATCACGAAACTATAGTCCATTAATGTTACTTTATAAACTATGTATTTTAAGAGGGATTGGAAGATTCAAGTTCAACCAGAATTGCCAAGAATGGTAAAAAATTAAGAAACTCCACCATATAACCAATAATTATTAGAACTAAACTTGTTTAAGCTAGTCAGGAGATGATAAAAGAAAATGTTTTGACATATTTGAACATCTGTGATGTGAAACACTTAGTCTGTTAGCTACAAAAAGTCCAAAAAGATGAGTGAACACAAGAAGGAATATTTCAGTACCACACACAATAAAAGAATAATCCTAACTTCCTATCCATTGGTCTTAGTTTTTTCCTATTGGTAAAGTAAGACATTAGACTAGAAAAACTCCAAAGACAGCTCCATTTGGCATCTACGACCAGAAAGCAGTGCTATGTAATCCATATAAAAAATGGTGATGCTGCAAAGGATGGCAGGAAACACAAAGCCTTATTATATCCTCAAAGCAGATATCTTTTTATTGTCAAAAATCTATTAGACTACCTAGGAAATATGTTCCCCCAGGAACGGAAGATAAATATTCTGGTTAATCAAATGCCGTGATTAAGAGTTATTGAGACATCATTTTTGGTACATCAAGTCCTTATGTCTGGCTGACCAACGTCACCAGACAGAAGCTCCCTGAGATCACGAATATGCCTTATCTTCTAGTCAGTCCCCAGCGTGCTAGCTGAAAGGAGAGAAGAAGAGCACAATAAAGAAGAAAGAGCGAGGGAAACAAGAAAGGGAGGTGGCAGGGATAAATTAGGTGTCATTTACAAATGGGAAAACTATCACTTGTGAAATTTTCTAAAAGCCGCAATTCTAATTGCTTTGAAAATGTTTTGTTTTTAGGTTTAGCAAGCAATTACTAACTTCAATGTGCCTGAAGAGGTGATGTTTGATTTAAAAAAGGCTTTTTCTTTTTGAAAAATAGTTGAGAACACTGGTGATACTGGCAATTGGACTGAACAATCTCTTAAAATTATTTACTTATACTTCTAGAATATGTTCCAAAAAATATTTATTTAATATATTATTCCATGAGGAGCCGAGCCAGGTCACAAAGAACAGATATGTCTCTGCCTCCCTAAAAGCTTAAAATCCAAGGGGAATTTTTTAGGATACAGAAACATTTAGCAGGGTATTTTAATAGACATCTAACAGAAACAGTCTTAATTTATATTGCTGTACCTTCATCCCTCACCCCACCCTAAGAATAGTACCTACAAGAAGTTATCATAATCCGTATTTTACAGATATATAAAGGGAAGTTTAGAAGGGCAGGTGTTTGCGGTCAGAAAGAGCAGTGGAAGATCACAGACGAGATCCCAACTCTACTGTCTTCCCACCATACAAGAGTCTGATAATTAAAAATTCATCTCTTCCTACTTTATTATCAAGAAAGAATAAAAACTGCTTGTGATTCAGGTAAAAGGAATGTTGAGAAAAAGTTATGGGGGAAAAGAACACTTGAAATGATCATTTATCCATTACATCGTCTTTGAAAATACAGCCAAATGCATCCAACATCCCTGTCTCCTTATTCGCTGATGTCATTGGATCTATCAGTTTCCAAAGAAAGTTATTGGTTCACTTTAGCAATCTCAACGGCAAAGATAGCAAACAACAAAATCTCGACTGCATCTTTCAATAAGTAAATATTGTGTGTCCACTATGTGCATGGTAACTGAAAAGGATATAAATTATCAAAAAAGCAGTTGCTAGCTTCAAGAAGTTTAGAATTTATTTGAGGAAATAAGTCAAATACATGAAAAAGTTAAATAACAATAAAACGTCTTTTAAAAATATAAGACAGACAGACAAGTCACTAGTTAGTGTATGATAAACTGTGGTCTCGGAAAGTGGAATTAAAGGTGATTTTTAAATGCTACGTGGAAATAAGGTTAGGAAAAAGTTTGAAAGGAAATTTGCCTGGTTGGGGAAAAAAATGGCCAAATTGCAGAATGGAGGAAAATAAAATTACGCACTTAGGGTCAGTTTTCACAGGCCCTAAATGCCAGGAAGAAAATCTGGACTATATTCTCCAGAATCTAGAAAACAAGTTTTGTACAAGAAACAACCCAATGAAAACAGTGATTTAATAAGGTTACTTTTGCAAAGATGGGAATGGTGAAATTGTAATGGGGAAAGACCAAAGGTAAAGTGATCATTAAAGTTCTCTTTCTACTTTAACCATCTATAAAAGTTTAAGATCAAAGAAATGAACAAAGAAAGATCATGAAATAAAATCATCAATAAAAAAATCCTGTATTTTTTATATGCAGCATTTAAATTGGGTAGAATCCCTATAGATCTATTCCTTTTTTCAGATGGCAAAAGGAAACATAAATCTACAGAATTTTAAGAACAGAAAGAGACAGAGATCAAGTCTAACATTTTCTTTTTTTTTTAGATGAGAAAACTGAGAAGTAGTAAGGTTAAGCAATTTGTCTAAAGATGACAAAACTAGGAAATAGATAAAAAGGGATTAAATCTCACTTATAAAATACGACATTGTTTGAGGAAACTTCAGCCAATGCTATGGGGGTGGGGGAGGAATACAGTGTATTTCTAGGCAACATGGCTTATTTCCTTAATGAAAAATGTTAAAATTTTCACTTAGATGTACTAGTCACTATAGCAGAAGATACCTAGAGAAGTAAGGAGTAGTTGCACTCATTTATACGATAACTGAACACAAGGGGTGAGGAGGAAGGAGAGGAAAGAATATATGATGATCCAACTATCTTCAAAACCAAAGCTAGCAAGTATGTGTCACTCAACTGCTCAAGCCCACAGCAGAGATCTCTGTTAATTGCACTTTCTCACAGTACAGTGCTCCTTGGCAGCCACTACCAGAGGATTAGTTAGCACACTCATAAAACCTACTTACTATTTCTGTTCTACATTCTGTAAATTACTATGTGAAGCTTATCTTTGTTTTCGTTTTAGGGTTTTCTTAAAGTTGCAGTTTATCCAGCCCACTATCTTTTTCACTTGATATGATTCCCTGTTCTCAATGAGATCTACCTCTATTTTCACCAATCTGTTAGTGAGGTATTTCTCAAACTTTTCACATGTGTATATATCACCTGAGGACCTTGTTAAAATGGAGATTCTGATTCATTCGGTCTGGGTGGGGCGTGGGAGGGCTAAGCATTTCCAACAAGCTCCCTTTGTGATGTGATACTGCTGGTCTAGCAACCACATCTGGAGTAGGATCAGCTACTCCTTAAATAACCTGAGAGTAAGTTATCATTACTTGGGGATATGGGGGAAAATAAGTAATCAAGGGCAAAGAAAAGCACTGCAAAGAACTTATCCAGAACCCACACTCTGAACCCTGATAGCTAACTACACTAGTTTCTGAACTTGGCTTCGTCTATAGATTTTGGGCTCTGCCAAGACTTTCATTGAGATCATATGACCCCTCAATACCCAGTCTCCTAAGCTTCTGTTAGATCACATTTCAAGCATGACTTTTAATTGGAGTCCTTTCACTGATCTGAAATACCCCCAATTGCCATCTCTGCTTAGGCATGGTCATGTCTAAGGGTGACACGATAATCATTTTAAAATATTTTCTGAAGAATTAAGAAATGCCAACAATATCAGCAAACAAAAGGCACAGAAAAATATTTTCAATATTATTATAGTAGTTGTACACAAAATCTATAAAGTATTAAGGAAAGGCATACATTCTACATCTTAATTTTTATTTATACCTTGTAATTACATGACAAAAGAATGTATTTACACTTTAGAAACTACACAATCTTTTATGTCCTAAATTTAGACTATTTTTCTAAATTTCATTGATATTGAGTTTAAAATCCCTAGAGCTAAAAATAGCAAAAAAAGCTATTCCAAGTCTTTTCCAGAGAAATCTCCTTTTAATGTTAATTCTTAAATGATTTAAAGTCATCTACAATTTTATTAAAAAAAGAAAAAGTCTGTCTCCTTCAGTTAAGATTTCACCCTTCAAACAAAATTCATTTCCTTTTTTCCTAAAATCTGCTCTTTTCTTGGAGCCTTTTACTAATGAAGTAATGAAGAAAAAAAAACAGTAGGAGAGTATTTTTGGTACTTTCCATCCTTTTTTAAAAAGGATATTACCATCAATGACTGGGAAATTCAGAACTATATTTACCACCTAAAAGTTCATAAATAAATTCAATAAAGCAAAAGCTTAAACCATCACAGAAAACTCAGGTGAAGTGTCATGACCTAGAGTACACCAAAGGGGAAACCAGTAATCAACAAAGAATTGTAAAACCAGAAGGGATTCCTTTATTTTCTTAATCAACAAGGCTAGAAAGAACTATTTGCACAGGGATTCAAAAGAGAAATAATATCTGCTTTGCACAGAATTTAAGAGCTAAAAAGGCCTTCGAAATCAGTTATACTAGTCTTCCCACTGTGTTCATTGAAACTGAGGCCCGGAGAAGGTTAAAGTAGATAATGTATTCACCAAGCTAATCAAGAACCTCTAGAAGACATTTAAGTTAAATTATGGATAAGAAAATAATCAAGCATTTTCCTGACCTAAATAAGGACCAGATTTAATAGAATAAAATACAAAGTGAAAATAAAAAGCAATTGCTCATCATAAAAGAAAAAAAAAAAACATTTTGCTCTAGCAAGAAAAATTCTCCTCCAGCCTCCTTGCCTAAGAACTGAAAAAATCCTACTATATCAAAACCGATTCATGAGGTACCCCTTTTTACCCTTTCTGACCCAAGTTCCCATTATTCTATACAGCCCTTACTATTCTTTTATTTTCTCAATTATGTACGTAAATTCAGATAGCTATGACATAAGAACAACAAGCCATACCCCTCTTAATTTCAAATGCATAAAAGAAACTGCAAAACTGTTATTCTCTGGAGCATTTGAGATCTTGTTCCTCAACATATGTCATTAGTTTGGTTCAAATAAACTCTTATAAAAATTCTCTTAAATAAATGAATTAATAATAATAATAATGAGCCACAATATTTCTAATGTTTTAAGCACTCACCTGCTTTCTACACTAAGGGTAGTCCCAAATAACCTAAATATCCTTGTTTAAATTATACCTTTAGGACATAAAAGTAGTTTCTAAAGAGTAAACACATTCTTTTGTCATGTAATTACAAGGTATAAATAAAAATTAATATTTAGACTGTATGCCTTTTAGTACTTTGGTGATCTACAGAAGCCATTTGTATAACTTATGTTTAAATGATTAGTTTTAGCATGGATCAATAAAACTACAAGATTTGTTTAAGAATCATAATTTAAGTTTAAAAATTCAAATAAAGTTTAGCATAAATTACTGTCATTCTACAAAGGAAGATGTTAGGGGCAAAGTAAGGGACCAGAGTAAGGGCCAAGAAAGAGAAGGAGAAAGCAAATCCCATTTCAATGCACTTTTGGTGGTTTGTTTTAATGCTTTTCCTTCTACCAATAACTTAAGAAAATTATTGATAAAATTCCAAAAACCAAAATTATCCAACATTCTAGTTAAAAATAAAGCTAAGAGACAAGACGGCAAAAATGGCTAAAGAAAATACAAAAAGAAACACAAGACATACCTGAGATACATCATCAAATTGGGGTTTTCTGTAAAAGCTAGACAGACTCTCTGCTCGCATGAGATACTCTGCTGTTCTTCTTTTCACAGCTTCTCGCCTGGTAGGGCTTGACTCTCCTAAAAGAGAAAACAAAAGTCAAGACATGTGAAAAATAAATGAGCTTTTCTTTATCCAATCTGAAGATGTTCTTTTTACCTAATTCACCACTTGTTCACATTTCTAAATGGAGATTCAAAACTGAGACATCAAAGTTATTAATATCAGCAAGGTCTAAATATTACTTGCATGAATTTTATTTATCCAAATTCTGAAACTCTCCTGTTGAAATATGTACAGAGAACTTGATATATTTTATAGGAGTCAATATATAAGAAATGTAGTATAAAAAGCTCTGCAGACAAAACACTAGCTTAGTACAGACAGTATAGTTGTCCAACTCAACAAATTGGACTAGGTGCAATAGATGTCTAATAAAATGTGTGACATAGATATGACATGCTGTAAAAGTACCACCAAACTAGAGAATAAAAGTATTTAGGGTAACTGAATTCACTCTAAACGACTGTTGTAAGCATCACGGTTTTTTCATTAACAAATTGTTACCCACCTTACAAGTGAAAACAAGAATGTGATTGAAATCCCTGTAACGTATAATTATGTGAAAGTGACAATTCACTTATCCTGTCTGGCTGTTTCTCTAAACAAAAGGTATTTGGGAGGCCTCCAGAGAACTCCAAACCTCAAAAAAGAGGGGGTCCAGCCCACAGAGTACTGGGCTCTCTCCTCTCCAGAGCAGGATAATCCTACACTTTTATTCATTTTATATGGTACTTGGTGAACACTTTGTGGTTGAAAGTCAAAACCTTTGAGAACCACTGTACTATTTATGATCGCTAAGATTCCTTTCATAAATAATATTCCATACTATTCATGACTCATTTTTATCAAAGTATTTCACACATAGTACCGTTTTTACAACTGACCCTAAGCATCTTTCTGAATGAAGTTAATCAAAAACCAAGTATCACAGGATGGAAAGTGCCCTGGATTACATTCCAGAAACTCAGGTTATCTGAATTTTGGCTCTGTGACCAATGATGTCATCTCAACTCTATGAAGCTCTTCCTCATTCCCTAAAATGGAAATATACACCTCAAATGATTGTGGAGATTAAAGGAGACACACATGAAAGATACTATAAACAGAGACATAAAAAATTGTAAAGGTTTTCGATCTTTATTTTTCTCTCAGAACTGAACCCTACAAAAAAACCTGGCTTGCTGAATTGAAGTGAGCTGAATTACAGTAAAACAGACGTTTTCCTACCTAAGACCACTAGAGGAAAAAACTCATATTTCTTCCTGGAACAGTATCTTCTGTTTCTTCAGGGAAATGCTCCTTTCTCCTCCCCTTTTTCCTCCCCACCCATCTTTACCAACCCCACCATGGTGACATGAATGAAAGCTGTCATCATCTCAGATTTCAGTCCCCAGTCACTACTAGCTAAACGAGGGTCACCAGGTTGGCTGGGCCAATCACAGAACACAGCCCTCTCGGCCATGGTTGGAAGACAGAGGAATTGGCCCAACACAAACTAAGCCAATCAGTTTTCCTCTTTTATTGATACGAAGGAAGAGTGGGAATTGCCAGCAGCCGGTTTCTGCCAAAGGGCAAAAAGCCAACCTGAAAGAAGGAACCTGTCAGAGAGAAGCAGATGTGAGAGACAAGAAAAGGAAAGAAAAAAAACCTGGTGTGACCAGGGTCCCTATTTCAACCAAATTGACATTCCTGCCATTCTTCGCCTACGGTAAATCAAATGTGGATTTTGTCACATGCAAACCAAAGCATGCTGACCAAATACAGACCTCAAAGAAAAACTGCAATAAAGTTGTCATTACAATTTTTCTGAATAACTTTCCATTCACAGCTTTTATATTACTATTCCATCTCTTCTCTCCTTTATGAGTAATTCATATGTAATTGGTCTTAGTGAAGAAAAAAAAAATCTCTATTGCTTTTTAACTGTGGAATAACCTATATTAACACTCCAACTCCTCAAATTCAGTTAAAATATCAGTATGCTTCCTACCCATCCTTAAAATTTACTTTCCAAACCCAAGGTTTTTATTTTTCTCAGTCAAAAGTGAATACAATCTGTGGAAATCATCCAAGTATACCATATTTTGAGGATACAGTTTGCCACATAAATAAGAAACATTCCCTGTTTCTACAACTACTAGCCCTTTGGTTTTGGGTTTGCTATTTATGGACTCTAAATGCTATTCCCATTCCCATTACCTCTTCTCACTTCAGGTCATGCCTTTCAAGCCTTAATTTAAATTCCCATTTTGAAATTTTGATTCCTCTTAGGCTCAACTCTAGTAGAAACTGCAGTAATTTAATTTTGTCATTCAATGATTAAACTTTAATAAAACTTCAAATTTTGCTTTATTTGAAAAAATCAACTTGCCTCCCAAAATAATATGAAAGTCAAAAATGCCAAGATTATGGAATATCTAATTAAAGCTAGAATTAAAAATGTATTTGTGATCAAATCACTGTTTTTTTAAACTTTTGGTATTTCTGCTGCTTTCTAGGCAGTCTCCATAGGAACAGAGGAACAAGAACCGGAAGCCAGCAGTTGAAATGGAGTCCTGCTGATGATAGTGGTTCCGCTTCCATGGAAACAACAACGAAGTAATGGAAATACTGGAAGCCTTTTTAATGTAACCTTAAACATACATACTATGACTCCTTCCTTATCAGCTCCTTAAAAGTAGGTCACAACCACTGCTGATCAATAGCAGCAGTCAAGGATGAAAACCACCTCTTGCAGCTTTCTGCTGCTGGATACTTACTGAGGTTTGAGAGAACTGTACTAGAAAGAAAAGATTAATCTATAGAGTTCCAGAATAATTCCGATTGAATTACTGATAGATGTGACTTTTAAACAGATTTTAACTAAAATTTTTAATTGACTCTAACCTTAATTTCTTAATTTTCATTTTAAAACATATCACCCAGGTTAACCAGGTTATCTAGAATTCCATTTTTAATCCTACATGAGATCATGTGGCTATTATTTCTTCAGTAGTATATATCCATGTAGACGGTTAATGCTCTTAAAAATGGGTACATATTTTACATTCTATCTAAAGATAAACCAGTATTTTCAATGTTTCTCTACATTTCTGTTAATCATTCAGATAGAGCAAGAATTTCCTCTGGGCATTGGCATTCAAAAGAGAAAAACTGCTCCCATTATATAGCAACCTTTATGTCAAAAAGTTCTGGTGTACCATGAAAGGTATCTGTGTATATATACTGTGTCGACCTGTATTTCTTTACCTTATCAATTTCTGATCAGGAGAGAGGATGAATATAGGGTGATAACTGAGTGTGATCTGTGAAAAGAAGATAATATAGCTAAATAGAAATGATGAAAAGGTCCAAAATTGTCACTGAAATCTTCAGAAGCACTGGACTGCATCTCTCAGAGCACCAACTGATTTAAGTTACTAAGAGAAGTGTTACTGAAGAAATAGGCTATAAATAATAGAATCGTGAAATTCTAATTTATCCAAGAAGCCATCACCATTTGGCACTCCTTCATTATATCAATTCTATTTACAAAGATATATTGCCTTCCTTTTAAAACTAAAGAAATTAAGGCTCACAGATATTAAATGCCTTTCTCAATCACAAAGTTAATATAACAGCCTAAATCCAAACCAGGTCTTAACACTACATTTCAGGTAACTAAATTTGAATTAGGTTATTCTACCTTTACTGAGTAGAACAATAGAAACACAGAGTATAAGACAAGTACTGGCAAGTACAGGAAGAAAGATGAAGAGAAGATAAACAAGAAGTTCAGACAGGAGCCTATAAGACAATGCAGCAGAATAGAATCAGAAAGACTGAAAATGACAGACAAGCACACAGGAAAATGAGAGCTACAAAGAGGTATAAATTTCACACTATGCAAAAGAGAATGGGCTTTTCTGGGAAAAACTGATCTCTGAAACATCCCTTTTACTCAAGGATTTCCTTGGAAAATAAAGGCCTTTTCTCATTTACCCCCCAAAAAGTAAAAAAACCAAAAAACGAAAAACAAACAAAAAACAAAAACATATTTTTACGCACGGAACTATTGAAAATCATTTTCATAAACTAGAATAAAAAGTAGTTTTTCCAATTCTGTTATTCTACCCTTAGTCACCAAGAAGAATATAGCTAATACCTCATTATTGATTCAATAAAAGAAAGGCAATGCTGGAGGAATATCTGGTCACACTAGACTTCTAAAAATACATCTGTATTTTATGGGAAATTTTAAGAAAATTTTAAGAGAATTTGACTATACCTGATTTTAATCACATACACAAAATTTAATCATCACATAAGACTCTTCTTAGTCACATCTTATATTCTTATCTTTCTCAAACACTCCATCAGGCCCCAAGCCACTGTACTCTTGGTCAACCATGCTTAGTTTTCATTCAGATTTATCACATTAGAAAGAACATCCAAGTCAACCTGGGTTTGCTGGAATGTTTTTGTTTATTGGTGCTTTTTTTTTTTTTAAACAACTTTAGTCACATAAAAGAATAAGCCTGTTTGAGATGGCCTTGATGGTTATAGTTTTTTTAAGTGCTGATTTATTATATTTAATGGTATTTTGTTCTTTTCAGGTATAGCCTACCATTCATGACTTATGCTAAGTGTTCTGACAACAAAAGGCAACCTTGAGAAGAACAGTAATTTATTGTTCTACACATGTACCACAACTCTGGAGCCATCAACCTGTGTATAACACAAATCGGGTCAGTCAGTGAATCTGCTTCCCATTTGCATTTAACCAAGCCCCTATAAATATTTTTACAAAACCAAGTTATGTGGCCACTGAGTTCAGAGAGTCACCAGAGAATAGCAAAAGCAAAAGTAATAAAAAAATTCATGCCCATGCGTTGCCTCGATTATAATTGCTCTCAATGTTGTTCAGTAGTTTTTCTACCACCAATAAACTGAAATGAAAACTAACATATCATTAGATCATACAGTATTAAATGCCCAGAGACAGGCTTCTCTTAGATTCAACAATTTCTCTCTGATC